AGGAGGGCGAGCGGGGCGCACACCTACCGCAGCGGACGTCTCCTCCATAGCCCAGGGGGCAGAGGCAGTGGTACTGCTCCAGTCCCTCTGCGACACACGTGCCCCCGTTCTGGCACGGCTGGGAGTCACAGGGGTCTAAACGGGACCAGGGAAGGGAAAGACAGGGAGTCAGCAGGGAGCCTGCCCCTTCCCACCCTGCTCCAGCGAGAGCATCGCCGTCGCTGGAAACGGGGTCACACCCCTGCCCCTCTTGCTGCAGAACGCGGGGTCCATGTGCTCCCACACCTCCACGGCAATCTCGTTTTGGGATGGCTCTCCCACAGGCAGCAGGGAAGAGAGCAAACCAGACTGGGACCTCACTTCATTTCCTTCGGAATAACACCAATTAAGTTCCTTTCACATAAACCACAACTGCTAAAGGTCATGCAGCCCTTCCACATTTACACCAGCAGTGAAGGGGTCAGAGTCTGGCCTGCTGCTTGGACAATGCTGTACTGACAAAGAAAACAAACCCACTGTCATCTGAACCAACAGAAGGATGGGGTAAAGGGCAGAACTCCAGGACCACAGCTACTTCCACAGTCAAAAAAACTGGCTGGCCATGAGCAGTTGTCAGGTTCCTAGCTAAACTGATGTTCATGGTACCAAATCAATGAGTGGAGGCATCTCACTGCACCCTCCCCTAGCTGGAAAGCAGCAACTCCCTGCAAGCACTGGCAAGTTGTGTAAGCCTCTGCCCCAGGAATACAAGCAGATGAGGATTAAATGGCTCTTCAAGTGGAAGGAGATCTGATGGGGAGACTTAATCCAAAAGAACTCCGGTCATAGATACCAATGAGACATAAAAAACCCCTGGACATTTTATCAGCTTCTTGCTGAAGACCACAATCTCCCACTCAGAACACAACTTTTAGAAGTGAAAGTAAAACCTCATCTTTTTAACCTTTAGTTATTACCTTTTTATAAATTATAAAAAAGGGTAAGTCCTACCTGGACACACAGTTCGGAAGCATCTGGATGGGTGTTTTATCAGCACTCTCTTCCATCTGAAACAAAAATATACTATAATGAATTTAAATTAACAACGTATCTGCAAGATTGACCTTACTGTACTTTAAATAGAATGCATTGTCCTTTGAAAACACAAATTTTCAAAACAACTATGTCAAAAAAAAAGAATGTCCATGCTGAGTGGATGGCGAAAGAAAGAAATCATTCCATCACAACTGCTCTTTTGGTTTCCAATTCCATTTTAACATTTTACACTTAAAGATTATGGATGCACTTTGAAAGCTCTAAAGGATGGGGGTTTTTTTAGTTGCTACAGAAGAAATGTTAAACTTCTTGCTCTAAATTGGAATGAAAAAAAAAATTTACATCAGAAAGACTTTTTTATTCAATATTAATTCTGTAACTACTGGATAAACAAGATTTAGACTGGGAAGGAATCCTCAGCTGTGTCTCCCAGTGGGATTTTTCAACTGCCTTCATCACTTCCCTGCCCTCAGATGATATAAAAATACCCACACCCTAGGGTAGAAGCATATTTGCCACACATAAGGCGGAAGCCAACATTGGTTCCTGACAATGAGATGGTTTCTGCTTTAAACTTTCACCTCTGTTAATCAGGTTTTTACTTCTCTCAGAGCTGCAGCTTCACTATGACACTCATCTTCCAGTGCTCTGCATTAGGGCTGCTGAAACTCCCAGCCACTGTGGCTAAACCCACCACTTCTGGGATGCCATAAGCAAGCCACAAGCTGCTCTGCTCTCCCACATTGGCTCTGAAGTACAAATAGCTGGAAACACTCAAAGCCATTAGGAGATATCTGAAACTGGCCATACAATGATCCCCCCATATATCTATGCACCAGGCCATCAATGCACAGCCCAGATTTGGGGTGGTTTTCAAACATTCATCTGCCTGGTGTTTCAACCAGCACATGAAGCACCTCTTCAAAGGAAAAACAATCCCCACCAATCTCTGCACAACACCACTTTCACTCAACTGTTCTTATCAGCAAAGAAAGCACAAAGCTGCCTTTCCCTTCACAGCTCATTTTTAAAGCATTTTTCCTGCTGCACTGACTGCAGTGACAGTATTATTGGAAGGACCTGACATGCTTTATGGGTTTTCAGCTCCAGTCTCTTCTCCCCAGGCAAGAGGATATCTCCCTCACACAGCTCACTGCCATCAACCCAATGATGCAGCTCTTTGTGTGCATCCCAGTTTTGGGACTGGTGCACTATGCCTGGGGGGTATTTTCTGCCAATGACTGGAACCTCTCCATAGGGCAGTCCTTCCCAAACCCCCCAGGGCAGCCAAGCAAAGGAAAAGGGGCTTCTCTGCCAGGAAGGAAGCTCGTGTGGGTGAAAACTGAACTAGAATGAATGCAGGGAGCCAGACCTGGAAACCCTCTGCAGCACCGAGTTGGTACAGAGACTCTAAACAACTTCAAAGCATCTTGGTTCAACAGGTAGGAAACAAATGCCAGGTCCACTTATAATGTGCATGGCATTCTTGTGCTAATCACCTTCTTGTCTCATCTCCTCCTCTTACCCTTTGGCTCTCAGATCAGCTAACAGACAGAGCATGGAGAGCCTCTTCATAGGCCTAAAGACCACATCCGCATCAGAATTCTGAGGGATCTCCATCCCAGCAAAGAGTCATGGTCAGATAAAAGCCTTAGTACTGCACCTCTCACTTTCTCTCAGCCACACTCACTTTTAGACATGCAAGTGTCCCGCTCACCTGTAGAAAGGGCAGAGAGAAGCCTGCACTGCATTTGGCTGCTTTGAGCCTTTCCAACACACATAATTCCCAGCCAGTTCTTTCACAGTCTCCAGGGTCCTGCGTTCACAAGGGTGGGATTCAACTTTGCAGCCTGTAGCAAAGAACAAACACAAAGTAGGATCAGTTGCCAGGAAATAAGAAGTCTGTGTGGGAGTGGAGCACCACTCTGAAGTGGGTTAGTCTTCCTCATCTACCTGCCAACAGCAGACCAGGCAGTGTTTCGAAGAGTCTCCGTGACATCCCAAAAAAGAAATTTTCTGTTGACAAGCTCATCAGCCTACCCCACCTTCTGGAGCACTCACTCTCCAGCCTCATTTGCTTTGCTATAAAAGTTGCACTGCGGAGTTCAGGGTTCGGTGACAACTTCTCAGCCCCTCTGGTGCCTTCACCATTCATGTATTTGATCTCTACCTCTGGAGCACTCTATTTCTATCTTTTCTATCTCTTGCAAGCCCCTGCTGGCCTCCCCTTATCAAAATCAAGTCCACTAGAAGATTTAACACAACCATGTTTATCCTTCTATCCCTCATGACATGAGCAAGGACCAATATTCCTCTTTTCAGAGGCAAACCAAGACACAGAAAGATATTGGATCCTGTAGCTTGCAGGTATTTGGAGAGGTAGGTGGCAAGCCTGCCATCCTGTCTGGGCACCAGAAGCAGGTTACCTCCAAGTGCAACATCTGCTAATTCCCCTGCATGTTTTCTGACACCACCTCCTCTTTCCCACTCAGTGACGTGGTCCCAGCTCCAAGCACAGGTCGGAAGGTGGAGCCAGGACAGGGGTTACCTGGAGTGCTGGTGCTGCAGACAGAGCCAGTGAGGGTGCTGTACAGGCCGTTGGCAGCATCGTTGGCATCCCCAGCAAAGAGGACGTGCTGCTCGGTGGGCTCACTAGCCAGCACATGCAGCTCCTCCCACCTGCCAAGCAAAGCCAGGGGTTAACCACTTGGTCATCCCCAAAGAACTGAGTGTCAAAACACACCCTGTGCAGCAAAGGGAGAGCTGATGCTCTCATCATGCAAACCATGACACCCTTCAAACAGTTTTCAAGGTCCTGGCATGTTTAGTCTCAAGCAGTAACATAGCTCTAGTCAGTGGAAGAACTTCCTTCACCAACTCTGGTCCTCCTTCCACACCAGCTACACAACTAATGTTTCCTCCATGCCTGTGTTGCCCTGAAAATTCCCCTTTTCTCTTTCCAAAACTCATAACCAGCACAAGGCCATCCCTCACTCACTATGGACTTGCCATTTGGCCAGCTGGGCCTCTGTTTCCCACTCTGTAGAAAGCTTCCTACCTTGGAAACTTGATGCCCACTGTAAAAACGGTGACGTGCCTCTGCTTCACCTGCACTGCAGGCACTGCAGCACTGCCCTGGGACTTCCCATCCGAAATGATGATCAGGACTTCAGGGACACTGGAGTTCCTGCCACCAGGGAACCCCTTGCGCAGAATGTACTTCAGAGCCCGACCTGTCTCTGTGCTCCCACCTCTAGAAAGAAGGGAGGAAAAAAAAAAAACAAACCAGCAATCAAACTCTGCGGCTACTGAATTTACCATTTGATTTTCAAATGTCCACCCTCTGGTAATGGGGAATTTTGCATATTTCTGCCTGTTGCCACACAACACATCCACAGAGATGTCTAATACTGCCTTCTTGTCTTCCTCCTATCCACAGGTCCCATCTACTGCCTTACCTCCCTCCTCCTCTCCAGCCCTCTGGAGTGGTCTCCAGAAGACTTCTAACACACAGCAGAGCGTTTCTGCAATTGGAGCAGGAACCAGAGCTCTAGGATATCTGAGTTTCATTTCCAGCTTCGACAAACGTCTCAACTGCTTCTGTGTTTCCATCTGAAAGCTACAGTCACTTCTTTAAGAGCTGTGTCACAAAGCTGCTTTACAACAACCCCTCGTATTCATCAGAAGCACAGCAGAGATGGGCAGAGATGAAGAAAGACCAACATCTCAAAATAGTTTCCTTATTTTTGATGCACAAACGTGCTATAAATTCTTGTCACTTATCATCCTTTCCCCTCCACAAGACCTTCTGCTCTTGGTTCTTGGGCCAAGAGCTAAGGCAGGGAGTGATGTTTCCCAGCTGGCAGCTGGCAGCCTGCAGTCCAGCAGTGTGCAGACAGTCCTTGCCTTTTCTCCCCCTCTCATCTGCAGGTTAATTTGATTTTCTATGAAAAGTCATTTGCATCCTATAGTAAATTTCCCACAAATACAAATCCTGAAAGCTTCTTGATATATCCTTGGAAACTCAGAAGGACTGAACTCAAGGCATGCTCTCTTCAGGGCTTCACCAGTACTTTCTACATGAGGAAAGAAAACACGAAGAAAAACCACCTGGTGGCAGCCAGAATTGTGTAAACCCATGCTGAATTCAGTTTAAAGCAATACTGTCATCTGCTAGGTTGCTGGCCAGCAGCAGTGGTATGGCAGAGAAGGTGCACCAGCCGCTGGTGTTCACACAGGCTGTACCCATCACTTCTTGTTCTGGAGATGGGATCACCTGGAAGAGGCACGAGGCCATTTAAAATGTGGCCTAAGTTACCCACGTCAGCTTATTTGTGGCTCAGGTGCCAAAGCTCCCTAACTCCTCATACTGCCTGCACTGCAGTAACGTCCTGAAGTCCTGGCAGGGCCTGGGAGCCCCTGGGAGTCAAGGCTTGCCTCGGGGCCTCTCCTGTGAAAAATTTCTTCCAATACACGTGACCCAGAGTGGGATGAAGATAGTCCTGCCATTCACCCTTTGCTTACGAATGAATAGAGTATTAACAGATGAAGGGCCAGACTTGGGAAAGTGTCGCCTGATCCCGTCTGAAAATCTGCACATGTCCATCTGCTCCAAGGAGCTGACTGAGGGGATGGTCTTTAAGAGAAGTGAGCCTGGGGAGCAGGGTGGAGGGTGCAGAAGCTGACCTCTTAAGGAAAGAAAACTAAGTGTCATCTTGGACCAAAGATGATGGAGGTAGATTTGGGTGCTGATCCTGGGTCCTTCCCCACAAAACCATCTACTCCCTCTTGCCTGGTGCCACAAAAACAGTTTCTGGTGCTGCAAGGAACCAGCTCCTTCCCTGTTTTGGAAGGCCTTGAATTCTGCCCTGGAGAAAAGAATGTTTCTAAGGGAGAAATTGATTACTTTGGTACTCAGCAGCAAAGTACTAAACCCACACCAGGACCCAGGTGCCAGATGGGGCAACATTCCAGCAGTGCCATGTGCCCACGGTGGCATAAGCCAGCAGGTAAAATGGGCTGCTGCTAAGTGTTAGGGAACAGCAGGCACCCAGCCTTGCAGCTGAGCATGAACTCAATCCTGAATGCAGTACTTGTAAACAATAAGCTACAGCTTGACTGAGAACAACTTGTCAAAGACGCTTTAGAAATCCTGAGACTTATTTCTTGTGAGATTATTAAAGAATAAGATTTGCTGACTGATGGATGCCTCCATAACTGAAGAGCCCAGTTGCCCTGCTGAGCCTGTAGAGATACTGGAGCTGTCTGAGAGGTTTGCTGCTCATCAGCACAGAGCCCCAGGAGGGCAAAGAGAGGTCCCTCTGGAACCAGAAGTGCACCCATGAGAAGAGATGCTCACTGCAGGCAGGCTGTGCTGTGGCCAGTGCCTGCACAGCACTAGGATGTCTTTGGTGATGGCAGACTGGATGTGGTCTCACCTCTCTCTTGCAGGGTGAGGTTTGGTAGGCTGTGCAGATGGCTCCTACGGTGCTGAGTGAAATCAGCCCCAACTGCCCCAATTCCCTGTCTACCTAACACACTCCAAGACTCAGGCTACACAGGCACCCAGCCCCTGCTGCAACCAACTCAAGCTTTACCTACGTTCCTCAACCACCTACATTCCTCACCCAGTCACTGCCAGGCTAAAAACCTTGCTACAACACAACACATGGGCAAAAGCCTTTCTTCCCCTGTAAAAACTGAGGGCAACCTACACTGCAGCTGTGAACCCTGCCTACAACACGTTATCTCTTTTTTTTTGTTTTTGGAAGACTACACATTTGTTTATCTCAAAGGGATAAATCCTGGATGAACATGAGTTTCTCTCTTCCTTAGTCTTCAGTTCTCCATCTGCACAACACAAGAGGCCTGTAATGTGCTGTCCCCAACTGCACATTTGACACCAGAGAGAGCCCAGCTCACAGGGAACGTGCTCCAGACCTGTGGATAATTAAGCCACCATATCAGAGAAGACATTTCCAACTATCTTCTAAGTCTGTCCAAGGAGCTATGCTATAAAACACTTCCTGTGATTGCCTTTTAGGGCTGCTTTTATTTCCACCCAGAGCAAGCACGGGGAGCCAAACGATAAGTGCTTGTCTTTCTTGGAGGCATCATGTTCTCCTTTGGCTGTGTTGACACAAACACAGCCCATCTGCTTTCTAAACACCCATCCTTTGCTTTAGCACCTGATTTGCTTGTTCTAAAAAAAGTATTTGATCATGCCCAAGTTTATTCTTTTCTTTCTTACCCTCTGATTTTCACTGAAAATACCTTAACTCAAGACCTGACAGGCCCTATTGCTTTTAACTTCTTTCTTCAGAGACTTTCTTGTTTGTACTTCATCATTTCAAAGCATACTCAATGACCATTGTGTTCATAGCATGTCCAAATCTTCCTTTTCCTGACAAGATGTCAATAGCTGTCAGATGCTTCAGTGGGAAGGGCTGTTCATGAGGGGAAATATATTGTGCATTATCAGCTTGATGACTCAATCTTGATGAACTCAGTAAGCTGTGCCCATGTGAGCCCTGAGGATTAGAAAAAGTTAATAAAGTGTCTCAGCACCAAAGCTCATTAAATTCCATCTCTTATTGATTTGCATTTGGAGGTTTGCTGGGTTTTGACTCAGCAGATGTGTGTTTGAGGCACTACTCCAATAGGGATTTCCCGAAGCCAAAGGAAATGTGGATTCTACCTGCTGCCTTTTCTCAGGAACTGCACTGAGAAGGTTCCTTTCCTGTAACCAGCCCCTGCCCTGTATGAAAGAAAGTCATACAAAATTCAGCTTCTGAGATGAATTCAAAAGCTATTTGGACAGGATTCAGAGAGAGGGAGACCAGCAGTCTCCAAATAAATCTCCAAAGCTTCACTGCAGTCTGGTGCTGCCTCCTTTCAAGTGCTCCCAAACTCCGTGCCCAAAGCACAGAGGCCAAAGCTGGGAAATGCCTCACTGGCCAAAGGCTCATCAGAAGCACATCAAGGAGCCTCTCAACTGAAACGTCAAACACAGTTTTTTTTTCAGAAGCCAACTGGAATCCATCCATAACTATTTCATGTACTTTGAAATGTCAGCTTTTCATTTAAACGAGATGAAATGGCTGAGCACAAGATCATTATTTCTGTTTGATCTGTCAGCATCCATGCGTTGTCATCAAGGAATTTCAGTGCCAGACACCAAATGCTGCTTCACTTTCTCTGCTCTCACAGACTTAGAAGCAACCGCCAAAGAAGAGGAGTGTATCTTGTTTTCTGGTAGGTTTTTCCTGTAACATTACATGAGAGGTTTTCTTGATTAGATAAATTTCCCAGAAGCAGTACAACAAAACCCAGCCAATTGATCTTGCTTGCAAAAGTCAAAAAGTGATCACATTTGCTTGCAACGTGTACATCATGCTGAGAGCAGCAGACAGCAGACATCCAGGAGAAAGGTTGAGCTAACCTTTAGCCCTAACACAGACCAGCTAAAGAAAGAGCAGACACCCGCAGGCCACAGCAGTACCTGACCTGTCATCAAAAAAAATGTTATTTTGGGGTGGTTGTCAGATCCTTTGTAGATCCAAATGTATTTCTCAGAGATGAAAAGTGTGGATTTTGAGAGGCTCTGTGGACAGTGCTTCTTTGGGCTTCTGGCTCCACTTCCTGAGGTTGTGGGAAGACATCCAAGTTTTAACATTCAGGAAGAAAAAAGGTTTCTGTCTGAGAACTTGATCCTCTTGAATTCAGCAGACACACGTCCGCAGCTGTCTCGGGACCAACACTTCATCACTGCCTCGTAGCCCAAAGGAAACTGTAACCACTAAAGAATGAAGTCGCACACGGTCCTGGCTCTGCTCAGCCACAGAGGAATGCCACACTTGCTTTTCCTCAGTCATCTGGCACAAACAGCCACAAAAACCTGCCAGTGGGCCATGGAAAACACTCCCATATTTACCACATTATAGTGGGACACTGAACACTTTCTCCCCTATCAACTTTCACTGGCAAAGACAGACCAGGTTGCGTGCTTCTAGCAGACTGTGGATTATGGACCACAGACAGTGTTCATCCATCTCTCTCCCTTGGGCATCACGTTAGTGTATGCACAGAAGAAGCAGAGATGTCTGCACCTCAAAACCCTTCAGTCCAGAGATCACCCATAGCCCAGAAAAAGAGAATAGCTATAAAATATGCTGACCTGAACACAATACTCTTGATTCTCTCTTTCACTTCTTGTTTGGTTAGATACAAATCCAGTGGAAATTCGAGGTGGGGAGATGAGCTAAACTGTATAATTCCCACACGGACCTGAAAGAAAAGGTTAAAGATAATGTAAGATGTCTGTGAGAGTTTTACTCTTTTGATCAATTTACAGATTTAGGAAGACTAAACTGTATCAAGACTAATTCTGGTTTCCATGTGGAGCCATTGGCACTCTAAATGACCTTCCAAAAAGATCCCAAATGGCAGCATTACCTATACAGACTATGAACAAGGCAAAACAGTTCATCTGCAAACAACGGGAGCCTCTGCTGCAGCTACAGGCAGCTCAAGATCTATACTTATCCATTCAGACCAGCTAAAAGCATCAAGGACAGGGAGTTTATAAATAACACCTTTTATACCAAGCCATTTACACACTATTCAGGGAATATTTCCATTACTAAAAGCAGCTCCCTCTGGCACTGAGCACAGTAGGAAACAGAAACCAATTATTTTTCCACTACCTCTTCTAAAACCATTTTCTATAGCTGAAAATGCCTGAAAATGCAAATGGAGTAAATTGTCTATATTGGGCAATACATCCAGAATATTTCACTGAAGCCTTACAAGAAGCTTTATGGAATGTGACAACTTTGACAGTGAAAAGGTGACTGATTTTCAGCCCAGTCTATGTGAGGATTAAGAGAAAGACTAGGGGAAGGATAGGATTTAAAAAAAAAAAAAAATAGAAAAAAGAAAAAAGAAAAAAACAACAACCCACCAAATCTGCAATTATTAGATGTCTGAATTCTTTTGCCTCAGGACCCTGCAACAGGGACAGAGCAGCAGCTTTCCTTTTCAGGACCTGGAGCAATGGTAATAGTTGACCTGAAGGAGGTTTTTAGGTCCAAGTCTAAGCATCCCTTTTGTGGAACCAGGAGCAAACAACAAGACCTGCCTCTCTTCCTTTGCTCCCAGACCTCTCTGGGGAATCAGACATGGACCAGGGGTCCTCAGAGCTGCAGCAGTGGCCCAGATCCACTCTCCGACCCATCTCAGGTTCCCTTTCCTGCTATGCAGAGACCTTGTATCCCCTTCCACAACTTTCCCAAAGACCTGACATTCATTTGGAAAGGACCAAGTCACCAGCTGCTTGGCCTCCAGCCACACAGTCCTGGGCTATTCTCTCTGCTGAGCACCAGCATCAACTGCACTGCACCACTAGCAGGCAGGTATCTTGGAGACCTATGGCGTCATGCAGATCCCCAAACACCTCAGTTTGGTGAAATGCCTCTGGTGGCTCTCTTCCTTCTGCCCTTTTGGCTTATTTTGGAATAGAGACATTCTAGAAGCAGAGCAAGCAGACTGTAGCATTGACCTCAGTACAGAAAGGTGATTAAACTTCCCAGAGACTAATTCTGCAACTTTCAAGGGAAAAACAACAAAAAGGTCCAACCATTCTAATCTATGAGCATCCAAATCAAGATAAAAATCAGTTCATAAAACCCAAATCATACTCTTTAACATGAAAGACAATGTCATTTCTCAAGATCAGATAGAACTGCTTAAAAATCTGTGAAGAATCAAGACGTGTCCTCCAACTCCACTGCTTCACAAAACTTCACTGAATCTTTCTGAACAGTCTGACACCGAGGTAGCTGCTAGGCTGAACTCTGCAGTATCACTCAGCACGTTATTACTGCCTTTCCACACACTGCCAAGATGCTTGAAACTAAAATGAGACATTCCTGACACTCACCCTGTCTGGATGGATGTCCAAGGCATCACAGAGCTTGCCTGCAAAGTGCTTAGACCTTTCAAAGCTTCCTTTGCCAATGCTGTAGGAGCCATCCAAGAGGAAAAGGACATCTAATGAAGCAGAGCACTGCATCACTAGGAGAAAAAGATACACGCTGTGAAACTCCACTTCATCAGCCTCACTCTCAAGAAGCAGCCAGCTAAGAGCAAAAAGCCCACAGAAACGGACTTGCCAAGGACAGATCAGGGAAGCCAATGTGGCTTCAACCACAGATGGAGGTCCCCAGCCTGTGGACTTCAGGAGCTCAGTGGAACCATGGGAGCAGCAACCCCAGTGAGCCAACATAGCAGTATCATGAAGCACAGGGAGCTGCTCTCCTGGTGAGGACGTGGCTGTGCCTGGCAGGACCTGCAGCCTCTCCCAGCTGAAGTCACAGATGTGAATCCAGGAGGCAACTGCCCAGCACACAGAGTACCACAGAGCCAGAGGGGTTTCATCTGCAGCGTGATTTGCAAGACACACTCTTACTTTTTAAAATGCAAACTCTCTGAACAGCTCTGAGGCACTGACAGAAACACTTTTCACAAAACTCTGCCTCTTATTCCATCTTCAGAGGTGTGTCCTTGTATCAGCCCTGCCTGCAGGAACACGACTGCTCCCAAGTACAAGTTCCTGAGGTGCTTACACTGCAGTGGAAACCTGTGATTTCACTGACAACAACAAGGTAGTCTGCAGACTCTGAAGAGCCATTTTCATTTACACAGAAATTTTAAAAGTCACTTGTGCAACATTTACCAGAACTAACTTCAAGGGAAACCAAGTCCAGAAGCTCAATACAGGCAGCAAGCATACCAACCTCCCAAGAGCCCTTTAGACTCCTGCCCTTCCTCTATCTCCATTTAATTATCCTTGTTTTATCACCACGACCTTTTTTCCAAATCAGTTTTGCTAGCAAAAACCTGTATTTGTAATTAAGGTTTTCTAATACCAGACAATGAGGGACTGAAGGTTGTAAAGCATTCTCTTCTGGGTCGCTGGGTTTTCTAACAGAACAACCAGCCTTGCCCTGGAGCACTGTGCTGGGGATGAGCAGGAGCATGACCTCCCTGCCAGCACTGTCCTGGCTTGTCAGCCCTGCCCTCACAGCAGATCTGAACATGAAGATGCTCACCCGGAGTCACTGACCACGGCCACCTGCCTAAGCATGCACAGAGAACACTGCTGTGCCCCCATCCCATGGGATCGGCACAGACACATGGTCTTCAGGTTGCTCTGGAGCTTCCTGCCCACAGCAAGGGGCTTGGAACTAGAAGATATTTACTGTCCCTTCCAACCCAAACCATCTGTGAGTTCAGTGGCACGAGGAGTAGGGATCTCCATATTGCAGCCAGCCAGCAGCAGCAACTCAGCTCTCTTAGGGAGACCCATAAGCAGGACACCTGCAGCCCATCAAAGGGCTCCTGGTGATGTGCATCAGTGAGAAACACCCACATACAGCACATCAGGATGGAAAGTCTGGGCTGAACACATGGTGCTATGGGATGGGGCTGGAGGGCATGCCTGGCATAGGAAAATGTGTAAATGATCCGACACAACAGAAAACAATGTAGGAGAATGCATGATATGGTCTGTACAACCAATTGCATGTACATCAAGGGAGCTGTAGGGGAACAAGGCCTGCTGGCCAGCCAGAACCCAGCCCTCCCTACCCACTGCATCACGGCTGCTGCTGGCTCAGCAGCCTGAAACAAGTCCTCCACATGAGAGGTCTGATCAGGAACCAAGTCTGTAACTAAACACAGCTCCTTAAATCAGGATTGCTTGAAACAGGCTCTGAAGGAACTGAGAGAAACACCAGCTAGCTGGCAAATGGTCAATTTGGGAAAGACAGAGTAGGTCCCAGAGGAGCCAATACCACCAAGGGGGAAAAGCCAGGCTAGGGTAGAAGCAGCCACAACCCTGTGCTTGCCAGAGCACTGCTGGAGACTTCAAGGACCAGAGTCCAATAAACAAAAATAATTTTTAGAAAACCCAAAACAGAGAAAAAACCAAGAAGGAATTCAGAGAGTACATGACTTATTTCAGAAAACAAACTTACACTGGCCAACAGTTGAGATCTTGTCAATCATCTCCTGGTCAGCATGGATTTCTTGTATACTCAAGGCCAGAAAAACTGTGGGATCAAACACACAATCACACATCCACACTAGAAACCATCTTTTAAAAAAATAATTACATGCAGGCTTTCATCTACAGCAGCCAAAAAAGCTGTTTTATTGTGTAGATCTTACACTCACAAAAAATAATTTGGTGACACAGCACAGCAGTGTATCTATGGGAGAAAACTCCCCCAACAGGGACACAACGAGCATGAAAAATGCCAAGGACATGACTCCAGCACAGGGGAGGACAATCCCCCTGCTCTGCACATGCAGGGATGCAATGGGAAACAGAGCTAGGCCAAGCTCAGGCTCCAAAGATGAAGTACTGGAGTCACCAAATAATTGCACTAGAAAAACTTAAGAACTTTTAATATCATCTTTTCCTGTACACTTCACATACAAATCAATCCTGTGTGTTTGGACTCTCAGAAAAGCTGTTTCTCCAGGTATTAATTTCTCTCTCTCTGCACGGAACTGTATTTCAGAGGTTTATCCACAGATCTCCTGGAGAGGCCCCAATTTGGCTGTCATTCCTGGAAACGAAAAACTCCAGCTGGAGACAGGGGAGCATCTGAGACATAAACTATTGATGCAAAATAATGACTTTAAATGTACCTTGAGGAAGCAGGAAAATGCAGATGGACTCCAACGACAAGAGACTCATGGTGACAAATCTGAAAGAAAAAAAAAAAAAAAAAGAGAAAACTAATTCAATTCCTAAAGCCAGTTTCTTTATCTGCAGCTGATCATCTCCTTGCTGGTTGTCTCATGTGATGAGTTCAGACACCCTCGGTCTGAGGGATAAAAGCAGCTCCTACCGTGGACAGAACAGTGGGAAACAGACAGAAGGAAAAAACATGAAAATTAAGGGAATGATAAAAAAAAAAAAAAAATAGTTGCCCTACTCATCTCCTTTCCTATCAAAAATGGAAAAAGCATGCTTTGCAGCAGAGGGACAGACTGTCCAGCCTCCCCTCCCTCCTTCCCACCATGCCCACCTGGACCTCCACTCTCCTCCCTCTTCACTGCATCAGCCTCTCAAAGCCAGTCTCCCCAGAGCCCCACAGCCCTCAGAGGCTGGTGGAGAGCTGGACATAGCTCCTCAGGGGCTCACCGAGCACAGGGCAGGGTCACATCCCCTTGCCCCAGCCCCTGCTTGAGGCTCTGGCCGAGATGTCCCTGCTGTGGAGCACAGCAGAGGGGACCTGTCCTGCACGGCGTGCCTGGGCCAGTGCTGCCGCCCACCCTCATCACGGCTCCTCAGCAACACTCAGGCACAGGCTCTCCCATGCCTCACGTGTCCCGAGGAGGGCTTTCTGCAGAGAGGTTTTTATGCATAACTATCCAGCAAAGTCGATTTTCTGCTCATTTTTCCTTCGAAATCAGCAAGGCTGCCATCACATCATGGGTGGACTTCAGTGACACCTTCAAGCATTCCCAGATTGAGACCAAGCACGTCTGGCAGAGGCCTTAGCTTTCTATTTAAAACACGTATATTTATTTTTTTCTCCAGATTAGAAGTGCTGGGTGCATCCACCAGAGCAAATTCTACCAGATTGATGCTGGGTCTCTGCCTCTCTCATTGCAAAAACAGATTTTCTTTATCTGCACAAGTAAGTGCATTTCTTGATAACTAGCTCTATTAACCAATTGGGTTTTGAAGAAAATAAAGATGGGTTTTTCTCAGGAAAGACTTGTCACTGCAGCAAATTATATATTTAATAAGCAGCAGGAAGAACTGATGCTTGCTAGTGAAATCACCAAATGAGGCCCATCCCCATCACTCCAGGTGCCAGCTCTTTGAAGGCAAACCTCATGTGTCAGGGTAGTGGGGGTGAGGAAACAGTTTCCTGGGGTGCCCACGGGCCCCCACGCTGCCTGTCCCAGGCCAAACTCCCACTGTGATTTCCCTCGAGCACATCTGTGTATGAGCTCCTGAGGGAAGGGACGTACTTAGCCAGAGGGAGGAGCCCCACATTGGTCCCTCTCTCTTATTGTTTGACCTTGGAGTTCACCTGCAGCCTTGGAGTCTCACTTCCTTAGTTTCCCCAGTTTCTGAAATTGTGTGTCAGCATCCCTATGTTTCCAGAGGTAGGAAGGCCTCCTGTGGGTACTCTGAGGAGTCCAGGGCCATGTTAACACTTCAAACCCCAGGATGCAAGCCAAGCTTTATGCAACAGAAACATCTCCTCTTAAGTATAAAGGAATTCCTCTTAAGTAAAGGGAGGTAAACACAAACCATGATTTTGCCAAGGAAGCCCCTGTGTCCTTCAGTAGTTTCAAGCCCTGGCACATGCCACCGAAGTCAGGTCATCCTTTGCCAAGCCCCGAAGACATTCTTTTTAGGAGCTAATTCCAGAGCACACAACACCCAAAGGATGACAAGCCTCTGCTTGCAACCAGATGTGACAAGTGAGGAGACTTCAGGTTGTTTTCATACAAAACATTCACAGGTTAAGATGCTTCTATGACTTGGTTTTATCTTGGGCTTAAATCAACTAATTTGCAGGATGAATTCTTTGCCCTTCAGCCCAGCAAGACTCTCAGCAGTAGGAACTGAAAGGAAACTTCATCACCAGCCCCTGCTCATCAGCATTAGCCCAGGATTAGTAGCAGCCCAGGAACTTTAGACAGCAGTTTTGCTGGGGGATGGGGTGGCAACTGAAGAACTTTTTCATTTTATCTTCCTGGCCGCTAAGAAAAGGAATTTCAAAAATGTCTACATTAGTACTGAGTCAAAAGCAATCTTTTTTCTCCAGCCACACCAAATCAAAAATTATATCTTTTGTACCCAGATGCTCACTTGGCCACATAAATATGATGACAATTTATGCAAAGCTAAGAGTGTAACTAGGGGAAACAGGTAGAAGGGAAAAATCTCTCCTTGAAAAGTGTCTTCCCAACATGTCATTCACTTTCTGCAAAACATCTGAGCTTGTTTATTCTTACCAATGAGGCAGAGCCAAACTGTGGCCTGAAAACACAGTGAACCCAACACCACTGGCCACTGTGGTCACTTGGATGTGGAACCAGGTCTGACAGCTCCACTATGCCTACAACAGGGCAAGCACCTGGCTGAGAAGGGCTCAGAACCAATGCTGCAGGCTGGTGCCTCTGCCAGAAAGGGAAAAGGCTTGCTGCTGATGTCATGGGCCTTGCTAAACTTCCCTGGCACACACACCACCACCACGAGACGCTATCCTGTGTACACCCCTACGCACACCTCCCACTTCCACGGGCTGTCACAGAACAGCTAACGGCACGTGCACCACTTCGGGGCAAATGTTACTCTTGTACTGGGCCAAGCAGAAGATGCTCAGAGGTACCAGTTAGCTACTTTGATTAATCACCACCTCTTCTCATCTCAGAGACACGGCTTGCAACAAAAGGTGTCTCCAGATCACTTTTTTAAACTTCTTTCAAACTTATATTTAATAGTAGAGAATAAAGCAGAAACGATCACGCTGCATATTCATACAGCCACGCAACCCCCTGTCCCTGCAGGCACAACCCTGCTGTCTCCTGGGGAGCACACAGCGCCAGATTGCTGAAGGGAGCCCACTGCCAGGGGATCATCTGAAGTTCAGGGGTAGGAAAAATTTTGCTGCCCCCTCTTTTCAGTCTTCCTCAGCCTGTTTTTCTTTCTTGCCCAGGTTTGGAGGCATTTAGGCCACCTCTGTTGGGAACTCCAGGCATCCCCTTTGCCCGGCCATGGGCACTGCCCCGGCTGGGGACAGCTATCTGCAGGAGACAAAACTGAAGGGTGGAGGAGGAAGATGACAGGGAAATGCTAACTTCTCCTGAAAACAAACATCACTAATTTCAGTCCAAAACTTTTGACAATTTTTTTCTCCTAGTGATAAACAAGATTACATTTCCAGAAGACGTTTTCTGCAGAATCCACGTGTTTAATCAACTCCCCTGGTTCTGCAGCAAGGAACAGTTTTGACAGGCTCTTTTCCTCCATGCAAGAAGGTCTCGGGCACATAAAGAGACCTTGATCTTTCAGCACTGCTCATATGGGGCACTGTCAAAATCAACATACTGAAGATCAGGTCCTGTATCACCCATGAATTACAGAATAAAAGACACTTTTCTGACTCAAGAGCCTGTGCTAAACTTACAGTGTGATAGAAGTGCTCATGCTACTGACTGAATTTGGCTGGAGCAGCAGGAGTGTCTCCATGAATGTCTAGCTTGTCCTTTTTCATCCTCTGCTGGATGCCACAGACAAGATGCCCCAGGAGAGCCAGAGCCAGCCCCAGCACTGTCAGCACTCAGCACATGCTCACAGCAGCAGGCAGCTGGTGCAGATGCTGGGAAGAAATGTGGCATGGGGTGGCTCAGAAAAGAGGTACAGTCATCTGTGGGAACTCAGTGTCAGAGGACAAAGCAACAGCATTGTAAGAAAATAGACATGCAAGCAGGAGAATTATATTTGGTTTATGAAAGAATGCAGGTAACTTGGTCACACCAAGTACACAGATACACACTTGTACACATGGCACACCATGCTACACAGATGCCTTTGTGCAAAAGCTTCCCAGAGGGACAGCAAGTCCTTAGATTTATCATGTCATCTTACAAGACAAAAATCCCTCTAATACTTTACTTGCTAGTATCACTGTCTTGAGAGCCTCCCCTGTACGTGCCCTTGGCACTGCTAGAAGGGGAGCCTGCCATCTGCAGCAGAACCAAACTGCTGGCCAAAGAGGATCAGGCCAATTGCTAATGAAACCAGACCCTCCAACCACAGGCACCTGCTGGCTGACTTAGATGGACAAGTCTCACAGTACCACTAGCAGGAGTAAGGACTTAAAGATTGCTATGACAAGCCTCCCTCTTGAACAAACAAAATTCTGGCCTGTCCTTCCCCAAATACCCACTACTGCAGAAGTGGAGGAATTGTACCTTCCCAAGCCAGCCAGCTGCAGTGATTACCTACAGCAGAGGCTGCAGGAAGAGAGAAAAAATTTTTTTTTTACATCTCTAGTATTCAGTTTAGCTCTCA